AATGTAGTATCTGGAGTTTCTTGTTCTCTCCCCTATAGTTTATCAATCTCACCTTGTTACCAATGACTCTTTAATTTTTCAGAGACTGTAGTTACATGTGATGGGTTTGTCCAGCGTCTCAGTTGTGGTAAGATGTATCACAGTAATCTAAAGTTATTTATTATGTTTTCTATTGTTATTGTTGTTGTTTTAACAGTAATTCATTATGTATTGATGTTTTTCTTCTGTTCAGATACTGGGGTGATCAGTGTACAATCAGCAACCTGTGGCCGCACAAGCAGCCAAATTTGCAGCATTGGACGACCACCATCTGAGACATCTTATACTCAGTGTTCAATAGATGTCACTGCGGTCTTCAAACGGTAAGATATTTTTCATTGTCTTTTTGCTTGTGACTACAGACAGAAAAATTATGGGTAGAATTATGACTCTGTTGCTTACTCTGTGGTTAGCTTACTTATTAGTATACATTGCATTATATTATTTATGTCTTTATCCTTAAACAGGTGTAATGGACTGAGAGAGTGCGAGTTAAACACTCAAGGACTGGCACCAAAAGATCCATGTTTTGGCACCTACAAGTACTACACTACCAACTACATTTGCATCCCAGCAGGTTTGGACGTTTTCTATCTCTTCCTCCAATTCCAGTTCTTTATAATTTCCTTCTCTGTGTAAATGTTTTCTGTCCATTTTCCAGAAACAAGTGTGACTTGTCACGGTGGATACAGTTATTTGAAATGTGGTGAGTGATTTTTCCACATCTCTCACATTGTTTCAAGAAATGGAGTCACGTGGATTACTTTAAGGACTACAATTTTTTTATCTCCATGTAGAAAATGGTAAGATTCAGATAAATACTGCAAACTATGGACGTACAGATAAAACCACTTGCTCTGAAGGACGTCCATCCGAACAGCTCCAAAACACCAACTGCTATTCACCCAATGCACTGGCTCCTGTGTCCAAAAGGTAGAAGTTTGCTGGTGCTAAGTTGAGGTCATTTTTAGATATAAAGTCCAAATATTTTTATTCAACCACCTAGATAGATTACATATGGGGGAAAATAAATGATGTGATGTTCAGAACATGGTAACTACAGTAATTATCAAAGTGGGAAGTGATGCCCTCTAGGGGCATTTGGCCAGGGGTGTTTTTACACCACAGACAAGGTTTTTAGAAGAAAAAAATCATTATGAAAATATAATTATATTTTCCTTAAAATGTTCTTCCTAACTTCAGGCCTTATTCTCATGTCATATGTAACTGTGATGTTCTGCAAAACAACAAGCTTTAAAACTCTTTTTTCTTACTGGTGAAAATCAGATGGTCTAATCTGTTTTCTCTCAGGTACATCGCAGTGTAAGCTTCATAGTGACCTTTACTACATCACTCTCGTCAACGTAGTCCATATCAACAACACAAATATATCTTGACTCCATATTGTGGTTATTTTGGGAAAATCCCAGGTATTTTGAGCAGTAGGATTATAAAAAATATGTGCTAATATACAATTAAATTAAGTATCCTATATAAAATTGCTAAATAAATCTATCTATCAGTACTTTTTTACTTAAGTACATAAAATATAGAGTACTTTTGTACTTTCACTCAAGTAAAATTGAAAAAAGGAGTACTTTTACTGGAGTAATATTTTATTATATGTATCTGTACTTTTACTCAAGTACTTGATTTGTGTACTTCGTCCACCACTGCTTAATGGTAATGTCAGGAAAATGTTTTTAGAACATATTTTTGTTAGCTGGGATAAAGATGCAAAGACTAATGTAAGCCTTCCTTTTTTGACATATGAAGCTGCAATGGTCTGGAAAGTTGTGAGGTGTTTGCGACACATACAGTCTTTACTGATCCCTGCTTTGGCATATACAAGTACCTCGCGATCTCTTACTTTTGCCTCCCACCTGGAGTTCGTGAGTAATTATTTTGCCATTTGCTACTCAATTCATTCAATTTTTTTTCAAGGTCATGTGTTTAGAATATTGTGATTTAAGAGACTTTTGTAACAAGAGCCTTATGTAGTACGGCATATTAATCAAAGTTTAAATGAAACATTAATTCTTCCCTGCATGCCACAGTTCAGCATATATTTTTAAAAGTATTTATTATGGAGATTATATACTTTAATAGAATATACTATTAACTTAACAGGATTTTTTACATTTAATTGCATGCTAATTACAATTAAATGAAAATGTATTATAGTTTAGATTTATATTAGATTCAATTAGCTGGATTTATGAGTCTTGTATTTTATGACCCACTTAAGTACATCAATGTATATGTAATTGAATAATTGCTTCTGATATCTTTGAAATATGATTAAAGTGAAATGCACTTTAAAGTAAAACAATTTATTAATTTGACATTACAAAGTGCACTTTTTAAAAGTGTAGTCTACTTGTGTTAAGAAAGAGTCATGAGAGTGTTAAGTGGCCTTTTATTTCATTAATATTATATTATCTGCAAATACAGTTTTTTAAAAACACACATACACTACAAGTGCACATTCATTACTAAGTGCGCTTCTTTTTCACAAGGCAAAGCACATAAATAAACCAGTCCCCATCTTAATATTTAAAAGTCATGATCATGGTACACACTGCACACACCATTACTTGCTAAGCCTATTTTACATTTATTTTATATTTACATTTTTTAATTGCTTTACAACATCTCTTTGTTTACTGTAGGTTCAAGTTTGGTCTGTGAACATGAGACGAGTGCTCTGAACTGTGGTGGGTATTCTGTTCTTACTTAAATGTTGCTTATTTTTAAGGTTTCAATTAATAAGGCATTATAAAGTTTATGAGAGAATGGTAAAATATTTTCAGATGATGGGACTGTCATATGCGTTCACAGTGCTAACTACGGCCGAACTGACAGCAGCACGTGCTCTACTGGACGACCTGCTTCTCAGCTTGCCAAAACTGATTGCTACGCCTTAAATTCACAGACAGTAGTCACTAGTGGGTCAGTTTATGTACAAATTTTCACATGTAATTCAGTCTTTGCCCTGCAGAAAAAACACAAACCAGATAGGACCAGCTAAGATTTGTGTAGTCTAAGCATTTTCTCTCAGCAGGGTAATAAAATGACTTTAATAATTATAATAAAATCACTTTTTAATGAAGTGTTTTTTCATTAATTCATATTTTATCATTGTGTAGATGTGAAGGGAAAAACAGCTGCTCCATATTGGCCTCCAACAGTGTCTTCTCGGATCCATGTGTCGGTACATTCAAGTACCTGTACATCTCATACTCCTGCGTGTCTAAGTGTAAGTGTGACTGTACAGAGCAATGATACTGCATATGTGTGCTAGTTTTCTAATGTGTTGATTAGTTTTGCTCATGAACTCACTCAGGCTAGACTGATAATAGCTCATTACTGTTGATGTTTGTGTTTGCAGAAAAAAACTGCTGATCTTATGGATTTGGCCTCTTCAATTCTCTATCAGCCTTTTAATCTATTTTCTATTTCTTAATTGTTATTGCATCTAATAGTATATGACATTTGCCGTCTTTCCTCTTGTAAAGATATGGCAGAAGTAGTAATGGTAGAATACTATGCTAATCTGAAAGTCTTTGTGTGCGGATGAAATCAGTGGCTGAGACTTTTGTGTGAAGTTTTGATTCTCATACGATTAATATTTCTATGGACCTTGCTTATGTTGTGGGATTTTTCTTAGAATAAATGCTTCTTAGCATGAGGTGTGTGCGTCTTCTTCTTAATACATGTTAATTGTAAACACCAGCTTTACCTTATCATTTACCAAGTGATAGGAGAATATAGAAAGACTACACATTGTTTATTTACTACCAACACTGTAACAATACAAAGCTGGTTATCCTTATCTTTTAACATATGAAGTGCAAATCATTGCCCAAACCAACCTATTGACTAAGAAAAACTAAATGGGGATTACAGTTAAAGCCCAGAGACCAGTAAGAGAGAATCCCGGACACCTTATGTCATCAAATTTGATTGATGACCGTCATAAAAATTAGGTGTCCACCATAACTGGACACCTGTTTGGACACCTGTTCATACACCCCCCATGTGTCTAACTGGACATCTGTTTATCCACCAGCGATCCAGAGGAATTTATGATCCCGTTCTCTTATTGTTTGGGAAAGTGTTTTTGTGTGGGGCCGTTGAAAACTGTTAAAAAAACTATGTGCTTTAAACTTTTAAAACAGTGTATCGTTTGGTAAACGGGTTCAAGGGAAGTTTTTATTAAAGTTTTTTCACACACATTTGAAGAAAAAACATCAAACATACAGGGAATAGAAACAATGTAATGACTGTTTTTTCCAGAAAACAGTAAAAAAAAAAAAAGTCAAGACAAGTATTTAATTGTTAAACAATTTTAGGAAAAGGTTGAAATATCTACCAGATATATTCGTTAAACAACACAGCAGTTTTTCTGTTGCACTTTTAAAAAGCTAATGTTTGTTACAAGTTAGAAACGATTGCTTGAAAATTAAAAAGAGCTGACCATCTTACCGTGATCTAAAAACAAAAAAGTAGGCTACCAGGTACGTTCGTTAAGCAACAGCATAAGATACTTGTCAAAATCTATGTTGTAGTCTACCATTACAATTTTAGGAAAACTAGCGTTTGATACTAATGCGAGTTAGAAAAGAAAAGAAAAGAAAAAGAGTTGAGCGTCGCTGATCTAAAACAAAAAAACGTATCAGACGTGATCGTTAAACAACAGCATAAGATACTTGTCAAAAATCTATGTTATAGTCTAGCATTACAATTTTGAAAAGGTGGAGTGTATTACTGACAAAACTCTTGCCTTGTCCAAATACCCACACTTGCGGTCTTGGCCCCTTGAGAGCGCGTGCGCGCGACATCAAGTAAGTGCGCAAGACTGTCCCTGGTCTTAAAAACGGCAAAGCACAGTGCCCTTAAAGCCGAGCTCACACTACAGGATTTTTGGCTGGATTTTGCTGTCGCAGACAGATTTCCACAGTCTGCGACAAAACCCCCAGATCGTGACCAAATCGGGCTCGTTGCAGTCGCCGAAGCTCGTTAAGTATGAGCAGGTCAGCAACGTGATCCGAACCTGTCTCGAGCTATCACAGACGCTACGATATTTTCAAACCTGTTTGATATTATCGCCACGTGATCTCGTAATGTGAGTGACACAATGACAAGGTGGAACTAATCTAGCCAATATAAACACTCTTTTATCATGTATCCTTATGAACAGACATGAAAAGCCACAAATTAAATCAACCAACTAGAAATAAATTTAACAAATTCATAGATTGTGTATATAATACCACGTTTCATTTTACTGTTTAATTACCTCCAACTCTTTCTGCAGTATTGACAGGCCTTGTTGGCCAAGTCTTCCAAGCCATTGTTTCTGCCATATTCTCTTTTGTTGTGGTTTATTCTTTCTTTTGGATAAAATAACTGCACAGGCCAATTGAAGGGCCATGCTTGAAGATATGGCCTATAATCGCTGTAATTTCGCGCAAGAATTTATGTGAGAAAATGTATTTTCGCTGATGGTCGGGAACACCTCTTCACTGAATGTTTTGTAGTGTGTGCACCTCGTTAGCATTGTGTTGTGTAGTATGCGCGCAGCTATGACAATTCAAGGACAGATGAGAATAAATCTTGTTGCGTAGTGTGAGCAACACAGTGATTCGGCTAGTCTTTCAATCCTGTAGTGTGAGCCCGGCTTAACGCACACTAAATCGAATACCGCTCTGGAGTGCTATTCGAGGCTTAGTGTATCCCATCATGCATCATGTTCTGGAAATAAATCGTGAGACTTTTTGCCGAGATCTCGCGAGAGGTCACGGAAACCTTTCCAATGCAAGTTAAATATTAATTAATAATAATGAGATATTACATATAATTTGGTAGAAAAACTGTGTTTTTACATTTTATTGGTGTAAAGATGAGTAGTGGTGAAATTTATTTTGTACAACATTTGCAACTGCTTTTTAATCACTTAATTAGAAGCACTACTGTTATAGGGACTACTGAACAGACTGTTACGGAGGGAACACAGGAAGCGTACGGATCCATCTGCAAGGATTTATTAACAGAGACGTGGTCAAAAACAGGCATAGGTCAGAAAATGGCAAACAGGTATACTGATGGCAAGGCAAGAGGGATAATCCAAGTACAAGGCTAAGGTCCAGGCAGGGGCGAACAGTATCCAATTGGACGAGACTCGCGGGATAATCCAGGTACACAGGCAGTGATCAGAACACGGGGAAAACAGACAAGGCAAGACGAAGAAAACAAGACACTAGGCTCGGTAATGCAGCTTTCGCTAGATGAGTGATAAACGCAAAACAATACACGGCGATCGGAATAGGAACTGAGAGAGTGTTAAATAGAGTGTGTAATGGCTCTCAGGTGAGCGTGTGATTAGTGACGGCTGTGTGATCAGTGAATTCAGCTGTGTAAGTGCAATGGATGATGGGAACTGTAGTCCGGAGTGACATGTAACAGTCTGTGTAGCGTGAGAGTCAATGCGCTAGATGAGTGATAAACGCAAAACAATACACGGCGATCGGAATAGGAACTGAGAGAGTGTTAAATAGAGTGTGTAATGGCTCTCAGGTGAGCGTGTGATTAGTGACGGCTGTGTGATCAGTGAATTCAGCTGTGTAAGTGCAATGGATGATGGGAACTGTAGTCCGGAGTGACATGTAACAGTCTGTGTAGCGTGAGAGTCAATGCAATGGTAGAATGACCTCTAGTGGCAATCGGCCGGCCACGGACCAGATTCGTGACACAGACATTTAGAAGTTGATTTTAAAATGCAAAGTATTTAAAATTAAAATAAAGCTATGTAAACACTTGCCTTTTTACAACACTATAAGTGTGTCCCATCAGGTAATGAAAAGTTCGACACACACTTGTGGTCTTCATCCTCACTTCACTTGGGCCAAATACAGGAAATACGTCATATAAGTTGTCAAGTGTTCAGCACTTGACAAACGGATAGCAACTCCTAAGTATCACTTAAAGTACGGCTACATGCAATTGTGTTAAGTGCATTTTTGGGAAACGCACGTGAAACAATAACAAACGATCGTAAATTGACTCGTAGAAAACGCTCTTAAGCGCTAAGATTTAATCGTTATCGAGAAAGGCAGCCCAGGACAGTACCTTGCCTCACCAACTAAAACCAGGGCGCCCACTACGGAGACGGCAACAGAGGTGAGGGGGCACAGTGACCGAGGTGGCCGGGCTGGGCCCCCTCAGGCCCCCCCGTGGCGCCGACGCTGCTGTTGTTTAACGATTGTGTCAGATATTTTTTTGTTTTAGTTCAACGATGCTCAACTCTTTTTCTTTTCTTTTCTTTTCTTTTCTAACTCGTATCAGTATCAAACGCTAGCTTTCCTAAAATTGTAATGGTAGATTACAACATTTTTGTTGTAGTATCTTTTGAAAAGTATCTTATGCTGTTTCTTAACGAACGTACCTGGTAGCCTACTTTTTTGTTTTAGATCACAGTAAGATGGTCAGCTCTTTTTTATTTTCCTTTCTAACTTGTAACAAACGTTAGCTTTTTAAAAGTGCAACATAGAAAAACTGCCTTATTGTTTAACAAACATATCTGGTAGGCTACTTTTTGTTTGAGATATTTTCCTAAAATTGTTTAACAACACTTAAATACTTGTCTTGACTTGTTTTTGTTTTTGTTTTTTTACAGTTTTCTGGAAAAAACAGTCATTACATTGTTTCTATTCCCTGTATGTTTGATGTTTTTTCTTCAAATGTGTGTGAAAAAACTTTAATAAAAACTTCCCTTGAACCCTTTTACCAACCGATACACTGTTTTAAAAGTTTAAAGCACATAGTAATAGATGTGCCGGGATAGTAAACTGACATTGATACGAAATAATGTCTTTTACATATTTTTATATCTATCATATTTCAACTTTATCCCTTGTCCAAAACACAGCGTATTGTTCAAAAAATAATAATGACTGATGTGTATTTAGGCTACTCAAATCGATATGGTCTACGCTTCGCTACAATGTAAATGCATCTCCCTGCTGTCCAGTGGGTCACTGAGCTTTGCCACGCAGATTTTGCTAAATATAACCAGCGGTGTGCCATAGTAGGCTGATGGCTAATGTGGGTGCAAATGTGAGGTACATTAATAGTTCCGAAATAATCAGCTAATATTTCTCTGGTGGTTGCTGAATATTGCCTATACAGAAGAAAGCCCTTTCAAGGCCCTGCCCAGTGCGGTGTGTGTCAAAGCAGTGCTTAGTCCGGTTGTTTAAGAAGAAATGAAAGCTGTAGAAGAAATG